ATAAGACTGGCCACGAGGGGACAGTGAGTAATTGAACTGCAGTCAGAGAGTATTGTTGAAGTTGAGCACGTGAGACGTTCGTTGTTATAGCGCGACTGTTGAAATTAAGTGTATCGCAAAGTTATATTCAGAAAGAATAAACCAGTTTTATTTAAGAAAGGACTTGTGTCGCTAAAGTTTCGTTGGAACGAAGTTACGGAAAATTAACTAACGAACGGAGACGTAACAGTATATTTAATAAAGAAAATTTCTTTAGAAATCAATGTGTTGTAATTGAATATTAGCAAGTGTGCTTTCACTATAAACTTAATCTAATAGGAAAAAAAATCCCCAAAGTTCTTATTAAAACAAAATGAATAATCCAATAGAACAAAAGATAAGGCTAACATCTATAATAATAAAAGAGCCTGTCTTTGTGTGTGTGACCGCTATAGCTCCAAGAGGAAATAACCTAGAGCCCTGAAACTTTGCACACGTAGTAAGGGGATTGTGTTTTTAGAATTTATTGAAAAAATTTTTGATCAATTTTTTTGCACTTAAGCCTTATAACTTTACTTCTTGAAGGTCTATAGAAAAATATATTTCTTTCTTTCTAATTCTCATTCACTGAGTGAACAGTATGCGGAGTTTTCTGCTAAATACCCTTCTTCTTTTTTTCAACACAAACATAGGAAGAAAAATTCAAATCTTAGAATTAAAAAATAGTTGATCTAAATTTGGGAAACAGGAAGAAAATACGAATCAGAAAATATCGGAGAATGAAAAGAATTCAAATAAAATCACAAGAAGAAAATACGAATCAGAAAATATCGGAGAATGAAAAGAATTCAAATAAAATCACAAAAAGAAAAAACGAATCTGAGAAGTCAAATTAAAACTATCTGGTTTTAAAAATAGTTGAATTGAATTACGTTTGGGAAATGGCAACAGACAAATTAAGTAAAGAATTAGGGTAGCTATAGAAGTAATGGAGACGCTTGACTGGTACACTGAATCATGAGATGACCTTAGAATCCCGCAGCGGAGCGTGGTTATTTTATGCTAGTATTGAACAAAAACCAACCATAAAAAATAGATAAATCTACTGATTATGAAGATTCTCTCCCTCTGAGTTTTACAAACACCAAAGATACTCACTTTTAGTATTATAACATCACAAATAAGTCTTATACTCATCTAGAATAATCCACCATTATCACAGAATGTGTCGAACATAAAAATATTTTGCAGAATAAAATTCTCATAAGCGTTAAATTCCTAGTTAACCGAATGACTAGGTTTTATTAAACGTATTTCCTCTTAATCTATTTGGCTTAAACAAGTGAAGCTGATTTTAGTAACGTGTTGTGCAACCAAAGGCCTTCATTCCTGAATAACATGAAGAAGTGCTGAATCCGCCATTAAAATCATGGAAACAAAGTTCAGTTTATGGCTCAAAGAACACGAAAATAGTTCAGACTTCCAAGAGTCCAGAACTGTTCTAGATTTGAGTTCTATTTAGCACAACTCTACGCACGAATAAAATGGGATAAAATACTAGGTGCCACAATGAAATTTTTAGTTGCGATAGCGACCTGGCGCCTGGGATTTGTTGAGACCTGCATTAGAAAAACTTTCATGACATGCTCTATGTTATTATTTTTTAATATTGTATCACTGGCAGGATGATAATACAATTGCTCAAACTTTTGCTTCATCCAATGTGATGACGTACTTCCATTTTTCATGTGACATGCACTGCTCATAAAGTTTTCAACATTTGGTCTTCGATTTGGCTATATGCTTTGTGAGGGATCTTAAGAACATACTTAAATCTTTCTGAATTATCTTGTTTATAGTTCCAAAGGCAGTTTTGGTTGCAATGGATCACAGTATTCTTGGGGTTATTCTAGAGACAATCTACTTAACTTTCTCCAGTGGCGTAGCAAGAGGGGGCAGTCGCCCCCCGGGCGCAGGTGTTAAGGGACGCACAATTTCCTCTGGCCTATAATGCCTATTAATTAATAATTATGCCCTCCCGTAGGATATAGCGTAACTGCCCTACGTTAAATAAATACGACACAGTGTTACGTTATTTGTGTGTATTACGCTTGCAGTTTTAACTTTCAAAAGCCGCCCACTGAAATACAGTGAGACCGAACTGACGTACAGAAGTAAATTACACCATTCCATCATTCATCTGTAAATCAAATACAAGTCCTAGAGTACAAC